ATATCATTCTGACCTCTCCCACCTGTGCAGCTGTCTAAAGTCAGAGCCAGAACTTGGCCTTCTGGATTCATGCACAACTTAGCAAATCATCTTTGTAAATGTTATTATTATCATTATATTATTATCATTATTATTGTAATAATAATAATCATCATCATCATCATAATTTTGTCTCTGTCCATGTGTGGATGTGGCTAACGGGGGAAACCGGTGTCCAGACCCCCATCCCCTCCTCCCGCTGCACCCCTTGCCCCCGCTCCAGTTTCCTGATCCGTCTTAGATGTGCTGGGTCGAGCTAAAGCCCCAAACAAAGGCTCACACACAGAGAGCCACACACAAACCTACTCATGTGTGACTGAAGGCATAAGAATGCAAATGTGTGTGTGAGAGAGAAATGGGGAGATTATGAAGACCGGCGAGCGAGAGCATCAACACAAACGTCCTTTCACTCACGCATGTGTCGCCTTTACACCCAATGTGTGGACGCTGGTTCACTCGCTCTTCCTCCTTTACAAGGTTACATGTCACATGAGTCCTGAAGGGGACAGAAGTCACGTCTTAAATCAGGAGTACCTGCCTTGTCCTGTTGAGACAGTAAATGTACGTGTTTGTGTATAAAATAAAGCATCTTCTGCGTCACACCTGTAGGACCTCATAAAAAAAGAACACTGTGTATTGCACCACTTAGTTTAGATGACACTCATGAATTGTTCCTGTTTTGTTTTGTTTTTTTGTCTTCGTCATCTTCTAGAAATGCATTCTATGTAGGGAAATGTGACGATGTTGTGATGTTCAAAATTCTCCCTCATCGTGATGGAAACCGGTTCGCTTCCATCGGCGGCGGAACGAGTGTAACTTGAGCTCGCGTCACAAGATCACAAAGCCAAAATGGATACGAGGCCGTGAACATTTTGTACAGCAGTTCAGGGTGTAAAGACATAATGACGTTGCATAATGTGTCCAAGAAGAAAGATCTCTTTCTTTGCAGCTGCTGACATTTCACCTCCAACTGAGGCAGATTCATAACACTGACCCTGGACTGGACTTGTGTTGTGTGCAAAACGAAATGAGCGGCTAGGATTGACTCTGGTGACTGATTCCCACTGAGCATCCTGCTGACGAGCCCATGAGCAACGTGTTGAAAGTCTTGCTGACTCTTGACCTCTGATTCCTCTGTAAAGTCGGACTAGAGCTCCCTGCAAGAGTCAGTCCATTGTGATCATTAATCAGGACACTATTAATACTGACAATTACTTGTTCTAGTAGCAGTGATACAAGTTGCACAACTGGTAATACTTCTTGGACCAATACTATGTGTACTATTTACAGTAGCTGCTCAAGCGAAAGTGTTAGTGCCAACAACAGCAGTTAAGGAGCAGTTTTAGCAGTAGAAGTAATGTACTAAGTGGTAGTAGTACTAGTCAGACATACAGAACTAGCAGTTGTAGTGGTCGTAGTAAACAAAATCTATGCTGCTCTAGTAGAACTCTTTGTACTTTACTTCTACTTTAACTGGCATTACTTGCTTGTAGTAGCAGTGGTAGAAATGTTCTAACAAGTAGTGCAAGAAGGAAAGTGGTATCATTAGTTGTTTTTTAAAAAGTAGTAGTAGTGGTTCTGTAGTACTACTAGCAGCAGTAGTAGTTGGAGTATTACCAGAACAAGTAGTAGTAGCAGGAATGTAGGTAAAAGGTGTAACTGTGGGGATTAGTAGTTGTATTAGTACTGTAACATTAGTGGTGACAACTGAAGGATTTAGTAATAGTGAGAGTGGTTGTAGTAGTGAAAAAGGTGAGGAGAGGTGCAGAAATCCTTATCCCAGGTGTTTATTTAGTAGCCATAAAAAGGTGTAATCAGCTAAAGTTCACAGTGGTTGCATCAGACGGAAGTGTTCGACGTCGCACGTGTTTGGAGACAAAGGCCAGTCCGTCAGCCCGGCCACCAGCTAACACGCTGTACCGCTCTCACTCGGCCCGGCATTAATAATAAACTGGAAACCGGAGCCGTGGAAGATTTCACTGCCCCACACACACACACACACACACACACACACCTGCACCTGACCCAGCAAGAAAAGCCAGCAGCGTGAATGAGGATCAGGATGACCGCTGTCACATGACGGTGTTTGTGCGTAATCCACCTCAGACAGGGAGGTCTGCTTTGAAGCTCCTCTCACTGGCTGATCCGGACTGACACACGTCCAGGACACTCTTAGTCCACTTCACCTTCAAAAACTCTCAAGAGGCTCCGCAGAGTGTCTGCGGAGTTCAGTCAGGGGTTGGTGACCTTATTCTGCAGTAAAAATAGAGCAGTTCCCTGGTAAATGAACAAATACTCATCACGCAAATATGTTAATCACTGCAGCAGTGACTCCCAGATCAGTGCTGCAGTTGTGACCGGGTACACGAAAGATTGAGGAGTTACAGTTTGACTAAATATACACTCAGCAAGATGTGACAGCTGAACACGATGAGTCACGAATGACAAACGGTGCTATGATGCAGCTAGCTAGCTGGCAAAGTGGTCTAAACAGCTAGGAGTACTGAAAAAAAAGGTTTAAATGGTTAGGAAAAAAAGCAGCCTTACAAGTTGCAAATAGTAAACTAAAACTAATAAATGATATGAAATGATTAGAATAGACTGCTAGAAGGGATAAATATGTACATGAACTACATGGTGAAATGGCTAAAAGTAGGCCAATGCCTAAACAGATAAAATAGCTAGCCAAAATC